CACACCTTTCCCTGGGCACTGACAGCCCTATTTGCTGTGCGACTCATTTAGCAATGCATTTCTGCTGAAAATATTGTTGCCTGAGACATTAGGAAAAGCTGGCTAGATGAGAAGCATTCCCATTGTTCTTTGAAACACACCTCAGACTGTGATGAGAAAATGGAATAAACAGATTTCCCAACAAAGGAGGACCATTTTCAAAGCAAGTGAGGATTAAAATGCATGGGTGTTTGGAGACCATAAGCTCAACTGATCTGCGTAACAGGATGGCTCACGACATGAAACAAAATACCTATTTCATTTAGTACCCACACTATATTACTTTTACATTATGCTCTTTAAAGCATAAAAAAAGACTTACTTACATGATTCCTACCCTCAGAATGAATTTACCCAGACTCATAGCAAAGATATATTCTCTCACCCCTATTGTAAGGAGAAGTTATAATTCAAACAATTTTGCAACAGAGAACATTGGGACAAAGCTATTTTAAAAAAAAAAAAAAAACACCTGAAGTTCTTTAAGGATAATACATTCTAGTGAGCCTAAGAATATGAGGAGTATAAAGCAGAAGTCTCTTTACAGCAACTGCTCCTTGGCATTGCTGGGCTTCATGCTAGAAAATAACAATTTCTTACTATTGTTTCATTTCTTGTAGTGCTGCACCCTGAGCTTGGCACAGATCTTTATGGAAGATGAATTTGTCAGCAGAAAAAGGTGGAGAGATATATGTTTCATCCACCAGCAGAGTGCTGAGGCATGGCCTTCTGTTGGTATAGGAAGAACTGCAGCAACGGCCCACACCGGGGTTCACGGGGCTTGCTTCATGTCTGATACACAACTGTCCAATAATGAGGTCAGCCTAGTTAAGACAGTGAGACAGAATACAAGAGATGGACATTTGCCACAAGTTGATTTAGATTTTCAGAAAGCTCTTGTGATAATTTAATGCCTAGCAAATTATAATTAATATTATAGGAAAGTTTGCTGTCTGTGTTGGAACATTCATGTGTTGCCATATTATAGATCCCTATGTTTCCATATCTATTGGGAAGAGACCTTAGCATTTAGCAACAGGTGTTACAGATATAGTGCTGAGGACAGCCCTTTTGCTTTTCATGTCAGCCATTTGAAACAAGCTTCTAGTTCCACACTTATTTCCAAATGCAGGAAAAGTTTCTGCCCTGATTCATGAAAATCAACAGAGGGCTTCTTTTCTGTATATATGAAGTTGAACTTTAAAAACACAAAAAGTCAATATCTGAAGCTAAGAATCATCCTTTCACATCTATCTGCACATGCATACATACATGCATGCATGCAGCTAGTAAAAAAGAAATTGGGCCAATGTGTGAGTGTCTTTAAGATTTTCCTAATAGGTTTCTTTCACCTTCCACATTTAAAGATATTTCTTAAATACCTAGCCGTAACTTTGAATAAATATTAACACATTTTTTGTGCATACTATGTATCAGGCCAATGTTGCATGAATTATTCAGATTATTTCAAGACAGCTGAGGATGGTACAACTTTTACTCTTAGATGTCAGATAAAGCAGCTCAAGCTTGATGACATCCAGTGTCTGTCCCATGTCATGTGACTAGTAAGTGGAGAAAGTAGGTTGGGGACACAGGAAGGTGGCCTCCAGGACCTGTACTCTTGCATCATCACACTCACAATGAGAAGAATCAGCCCCTGGTTGAGGTGACCTTACCCACAGGAAATTCTCCTTTTGATTTAAAATTTTGAGAAAGTTCCAAGATGTGAAGACTAACTAGCAAATAATTCCGAATCATCAAAATCAGGACAAGGGATAAAATAATTCTGTTCACAACAGTGACTCTAAGGGAGAGAGTAAATTAAAAATTCAGTCCATACTCACATGTATGGCATGAGTGACAAGGAAATAAAGATTACTAGAAATACTAAGTGGAAAGTCATCTTACTATCCAGAACACAGGAGTTACTCTGTTCTGTTCCCTATACTGTACCAAAAGGAGCAATTGTTCCTAACAATAAGATTATATACAAATGGCAAAAGCCTGAATGATCAATTTTAATCTGTCAAAAGTAAAGCTTTTTACCTTTTCTAAAATAAAGTAAACATTTAGTGAAAAAATAAAGGAGATCATAGACTTAATAACACAATGGTCATTCCATCTCTGCTGCCATGAAGACATCACACAGACACTGCTGAATGAATTGACCACATTTTCCACTGTCCTGGGACAGGAAGACCAACCACGGCACCTTCCAGAGCTGAGTTCTCTGGACCACTCTCACCACGACTCACAGAACAACCCGGAAAACCATCTCCATTTTGGCACAAAGGAGACGGGACTAAAGAACAGAGCCACTCACCGCTCCTTCCCCACAGACCAATCGCTTGTCCCCGCTGAGTTGACAACACGTGGCGGCTGTAGTCACCATTTTCCTGGTGAAAGTCATCGGCTCAGATGAGGTCAGCTGAGGGGCTTTCTTCATGTAAGCAACGAGAAACCTGAAAGAAGCATTTCCCCAAGTCCTGTTGAGTCAGTCATGAGCTTCTTGACCCCTTGTCCTTCTCACAGACCCTTTTTGGTGTCAGAAGACAGGAGGCATTTGCACCAGGCTTTGAGAAGTGCTTCCTCTGAGTTACTCTCTTGACACCCCTCACCCAGTCCCTCCTGATGCGGAGGCAAAGCCTGAGCAGGAGGCCAACTTCTACTACCAGCCTTAGTTTCATTGATCCTGTGATCTCCTGGTGTTTTGACTGTGAAAGGTTATGGCACAGTGGATACCTTTACTGCAAAAATCTGCAGGATTTGGGGACTCTGCAGCCATTTCTGCAGATCAGATGGTACAGGCCTTCTTCCCTGCCATTCCCAGAAGGAAAAAGGGGAAGAGGTGACTATGTCTGGGGGACAGTCAAGCCATCAGGTTCCTGACTTCCATGCAGGAGGGGCTGAAGTGAACGGAACCATTGCTCTCTACTTTAGGTTTGTATTTTCCCTGCCTGTTAACAATTGTAAGTCACTGAAAACACCATTTAAGGGACATACGCATTTTGCAGGTGATACTCTCCAAGTTTCTGAAAGAGGCCACAGCTTCGTGTCGCCATTGCCTGGCTTTGCTGGATGCATTTCTGCAGCTCTTGCTCCTGAAAGCAGAGCATTATTATAAACACTTTTCTCTCTTTGTGGTCACACAATTTTGAATATAAAATCAACCAATCTTTTTATTCTACTATGAAACCACTTGCAGAGGGTTTTTTTAAATATTAAAGATGGCAAAGCATGAATTTTGAAAATTATAGCAAATGAACACTAAATTTAAAACTTTGTTAATCATCAAAACTAGTTGGTAACAGAATTCAATTTCTGAATAAAAGGCAACAGTTCTTTCTGTACAAAATTCTTGTCTTTCTGAAGCTGTGCAAAAATGAACATTTCTTTTGTGCATCAAAAAACCTTTTTGGTCAACATTATTATTTATCAAGTCATTAGTTGCCAATTATTAATTAATAACTACTTAATATCTAGATTACCAATTCACAGGTGCAACTAGCTACTTGGTTATAACTGGATGTTATCACTTTATTTCTGTGTTTGTTGACTGGTTGTATGCTAGGGATGGAAACCAGTTTCTCACACATAGGAGGCCAAGGCTCTACCCCCAAACAGTGTTTTCAGTGGATGATAATCAATCTAGGTTTTCAGATTCTTCCTAAAATTGCAGAGCAACTTACCCCGTTATCCTGGCATTCAGGAGGGTTTTCAGATTGAAAACACTTCTCCAATAGCTCCTGGTATCCATTAGCAATTCTTTTTTTAATTTTATTTTAAAAATAAAAGGAGGAAAACAGGCACCCAGACAACAAGTTCTCTGGGAGCGGCAAGGCTCCTGGGTCCGAGTTTGTGCTAGACACATACCACCACGATTCCCAGCTGAAACGCTCGCACAGAGCCAGGTAGGCCCCATCCAATCCCAGAGGCCAGGACGCGAGAACAAAGACCCTGCAGACATTACAGACTGAGTCGCTGTGGCGGCAGAGAGGAGATCCAGACTGAGCAGCCAAGGGACTTCTCCAGCTGGGGGCTGGGCGAGCAGGCTCTCTGAGCCAGGCAAGCAGATTCACTGAGCCC